GCCTGCTCTGAAGTGCTGAGCAAACACTTGGCCCTCAGCCACTCTAAGACTATGAGGAGGATAAGGAGAGGCTCAAAGTAGGGAGCTGACAATCAATTGCGAGCATGAATCCAATTACATTATAGTCAGAAAACAGATTCCTGCCTTGTGAGGATGGAAAGCAGCATCAGTTCTGAAATAATGGTTAATGCATATTGTGTTCTCTTTTTATCAAATCATCAAGTGAATATGAAATTTTGATGAAGGAACTCTAACAAAACACTATGGTTAAAATAAAGAACAAAAATAGAGTCATAACAATCCAGCAGACATCCAGCCACAAAGCACATAATGGCTCATACGCCAATATAGAAACTGTTACCTCACCATCATTAGTTTAGCTTCTATCCAACAGCTCAGGTTAGGGAAAGAAATAAGTTAAAAAGGTTGAAAGAAGTCAAGCCAAACTTCTGAAGTCATTAGAGTGGTGAGAACTGCCACTGCCACTCAAGGGAGTCCAACTCTTTTTTATGTGACTTTAATCATGGAGAAAAGAACCAGAACCTTCTGAGCTGCTCCATGTGAGAGTCCAACCTTTAATTATTAGTCAATATCCTCACAGCAAGTGCACAGGATTGCATTTAATTGCAGTGGAGGATTTTCTGATGGGTCCACAGTGGGGCATTTGTTCAAAAAGGCCACTATGAAAGCTCATCACATTAAAAGTAAAAATCTGCCCTGGGATACTCTACTTTGCTGTTATTGTTAGATTCTGTATTGAATGAAATATCTTTGAGTCCCTGCTCTTCATCAACCTGACTCATCTTCTACTTCAGTGAGTAATTACCTGCATTTCCCACAATGCCTTTGGACAACTGCCAGATAATGAGCATAATTTTGTTCCCAAGCCACCAGACATTCATGCGTTTGCACCAGAGCTGAGAGAAAATGAAGACTCAGCCAACTAAATGACCAATGCACAAAAACAGCCCATCCTAGTTTGCATTTTAACAGCAGCTGTGGCTCTAGATATATTGTGGGTAATTGTTTGTTTTTTGTGCAATAGCACTGCCAGCAGCATTGTCAGCCGTGAAACAATACGTTTTATACCTTAAGTAAAATACAATCAACAAATCGATTTCTACCTCAGAAGACTATTCTACAAAGAATCACATTACTAAACAAAATACAGGGTAATGATACTAAGTCAAACAATACCATGAAGGAAAGTCAAATATATTACGTGAGTAAAACAGGGGATGGTGGATTTAGAAAAGGTGAGTTAGATTTAAACAGGGAACCTTTTTATCATGAAAATACAGTTTGTTTGCATGAAGATTAAATCACAAAGATAAAGTGATAGAAACAAGGACACCCACACAATGAGTAATATGCATCTAGTGTACTACAGGAAATTTAAAGGCATTGTAGAGGATCTATCTAATCCATGTGCAATATCATCTTGTCCTTGACCTGCTCTAGTGTTAATGCTATTAAAAAAATATTAAACCCTCTATTATTCTTTTCACCGGGGGCCACTTCTGGGCCCCATACAAATCACATTTACATGGCTTCTTGTTTCTCCATCAATGTGATTCATGAGAAAATGTTCCGCCTGTCGAGTCCAAAACAGAAGATAAGTGGATTAAAGGCTTTTTAAGCTTCCTAGTTCTCTACAAAAAATATTTGAAACACTGCAGCAATAAATATCTGAAGAACTATGTTTCAAGAAAGATTGTCACTATCCTTGTAACAGATTGTTATTTACAATGAATTCTTGGATCTGTTCAATACACACATGATGTTGAGTGAGACTCAGGCATCTGAAGAATCTTTCTGTCCAATTTTAGCTGTATGAGCAGTCACTGTCCATATACCTTATTGGACATGGACACTACAGTATGTGCTGTCAGATTCTTGCAGTAGCAGTTATGCTGTTATGTCATTTTGTTGTTCCCAAACAAACCTGAAATGTTGACAGGACTTTGTCTGAGTTTTTAAAGCTGAAATGACGTGAACTGTACAAACAGAGACTGAATACTTGTATTTCTGCTTCCATCTGATCCCACTGTTGAGGAAAAGTTTCAGATAGTATCTGATCATTCTGCAGCAGTGCTGTGATATGCAGATCCTTCGAATGGTCTCTCCCAAAATCTCTCAATGCTTGTATCATGTCAAAGACAGTCTGGAGATTGTAGGATTGTATTAAGCACAGGAATAGACCATCCATTGCTTGTGTGTCCAGCCCAGGAATTTGACAAACTCTCTAATGTCCAGCTACTTCTGCTCGACTTTTATGTCAGTACTACATATCAAAGTGTGTCGGCTATCTCCTGCCACGAGTGGCTTGGAAAGAGATGCTTCTTACCAACCACCTCTTGAAATGTAGTGTTTCCTGCTTGGAGTGAAGTGGCAGCATCTTTTAACATTCTCCTCCGTCTCTCAGTAGGATTTGCCAGTTGTGCTCAAGGCCCTGTCAAGGAGGCTGTTCAAGCCCACAGGGCAGATCACTTTAAGGCCATTGTCCATCAAAAAAGGATTCCTGCTTTCGGTTCATCAAAGATATATCAAAATCTGAGTTGGACTGTGCTCACAAAACTCTTTTTTTGCTTAGGAACACTGAGTATTGAATTGAGCAGCCCTTCAGAGAAGAAACAAAGTAAAAACATAAATAATGTATTACTACTGCAGGATATGGCATACTGTTTGGAACCCACAACAAGTCATTGGCAAGATCCCTTGCAAACCAAGAATGCACAAAGCACAATTAGCTGTGTGAAGATGTCTCAAAGGTTTGTGAGTGGACAGACCCTCCTCTGGCAGCTATGTAGCCTTCAAAAGGTTTCTGGCAGCATTAACCCAATTTTCTATTAGAGAGTTGAGGAATAGCATACGCAGAGACGGTCAGTCCATGTTTGTAGGCAAACCACTGCTCACTTGTTGTTCTGCAATGAGACAGTTCTTGTGTGAGGTATGTCACCAACCTCCTATTAGCTCAGAGGTAAGAATAATAAGAGTACAGAATTGGTTCTCATGATTGTGAGGACCATGCACCCATTCTCTAAATCACACAAGAGAAATGATGGTGTTTGTGATGCCTGGATACAGATGTCAGCCTTGTGTCAGACAGTTCATCTAAAAACGCAGTTATGGTGTAGGAGCAGCATTTATTCTGGTTGACTTGTGACATGTCAGTGGGGCTTGTGATGTATTGTACTATTAAACCTCTTGTCCTCTGCTGAGCAGTCAGTCAGCCCTTGAATAGCATCAGGGAGGTGAGACATTGTTGAATCAATGCCACAGAAGGTGATTCAGGCCTTATCATGAAATCCTTTTCTAAAAGATGTAGCTGGTGTAAACATAACAAAGGCCCCATATTGTATTCTTTACCATTTGTAAGCTCTAACCATGTTGTCTGCCACTCCACTAGTCACTACATACTTAATGGTTCACATGTCTAGCGTTTAAAGGGTTAAATAGATTCACATCGATCACATACCTTTGTTGTAAGTGTCTCCCCCATCAAATCCATTATTTTTGATCAATAACACTCCAAATACAGGGATCGTGTCTTTCCCCACAGAGGCAAAATACAGTCGGACCTTTTTCCTATAATGCCTCCTTCCTCTGGAATAACCTCTCTGCTGGTATCAGACTGCCTGAATTCACGGAGGTGTTTTAATCCAAAATTAAAACTCATCTTAAATTTCGCTTAGTGGCTTACTTCAGGCATGATACCTCTTACCTTTCTCCTGGAAGCAAATCCTTCTCAGTCAGAATGAATCCATTAAATCTTGTATGTACAGTACTTATCTCTTTCTGTCTATTCTCTTCTCCCAGTCCTCTCTTTACACCAATGCTCACTTTGCTGGTTGATCGGTGAACCTAGACCGTCTCTCTCTTGGCTCTTGGCTCTTATTCCAGATGTTTTGGATGTGGATCTTTGCCCTTCAGGAGTCCCAGTCTCCTTGTCTCCCTTTCCGTCCATTTGTTTTCCTCTAGACTTGGGTTTTGTCTTTTGTATAATTATGTACTCAGTCAGGTTGCTTACCTGGTGGCAGCACATCATATTTTTTCAAATAATCTTTACAATCTATAATGTCATTCAAAAGAGTTTTAAGGGGAATTTGTTCCATGTTTGATTCCATGATCCAAGGACAGAGATGCTGTAAAGATTATTAAACCCCCTGAGGAAAATTTGGGATTGAGCTATATAAATAAAATTAGACTTGACTAAACTTGACTGTTCATCCACAATGTTAGTCAGTAGGTTCATGAAAACAAAAATACAAAGTGTTCATAGAGTGGGGAATGGTTCAAATATACAGTATAACCCCAGGCTCATACTGCATGTAGTCTGCCACTGGGATAGCTCAAAATAAAAGACAACCTGTTTTGACACAGTCCTTATGCTCATTAGTTTGGTTGTGCCCTGTCGTTTGGTTTGACTGCACCGAGCAGGTATAACAAAAGTCCTGTCATATATTGTTTATGTTTTGCACTCATTTGCATATGGTGAGCCAACACTGCAGCTCATTTCTACACACAACGTTCAACAGCAGTACAAGGAGCTCAGCAGTGCCATGCATGGCTTCACTGAATTAATTAGGGGAAGGAAACACTAAAGACTTCTGGCAAATTAATGTCATTAGTGGGGAGAATTATTGTGTAATGATCAGCACCTAGTTTTCTGGACATTGGGAAAACTGGTCTGAAACTAATGTGATTTAAGCTCATGAGGAAAATAAAAAGGTCAAAAGAAAAACATTAAGAACATGAACTTGGAAATACTGAACAAGAGAGTGAATGTCTGTGAGGATGTGGGTTTGTGTGGTGAGATTAAAACTCTTTGTATTATATGTTGTGTATAATAATTAGATACAAACTGAAAGTGTGAACTCCAAAATATATGTAGACTGGAGGGATTACAGGAAATATCCATTCTCTGCAGCCACGACTTAAAAATGACCGAAGGAAAAGGTGTGTTTATTATAAAGTATATGAGTATATGAGAAACTGACCTTGAAAAGACGCAAAATGTTGGCTACCATGATTGACACGGAGCTGGCAGATGCACCGATCACTCCCACCACTCTCTCAGGCTTAGTGATGATGGGCGGCCCTCCGCTGAGACATTTGACATCCGTTGAGTCTTTCTCAATCAGCGCCTGAACAAATGTCAGTGACTGTTCCAGAGCATGAGTGTCCCGGGAGCAGGTGTCCAGGATGCGTGCCCCCAGAGTGATATTAGGCAGCAGCTCATTGTCGTTATTGATTCGATCCAGGGCAAATAACATGGCCTCCAGCCTGTGGATCCCTTTCTCCTTCTTAAGCTCCCCACAGGCTTTGCCATCGTTCCCTCTCGCATGCACTGGGAACAGTCCACCCAGAGATATGTCCCCATCAATGCGTATTGAATTGAGGTGTGTGTGGCCTGGCATTTTCGGCTTGGCTGCCAAGGCGATCAAGAAATAACAAGCCAGCAGCAACACCCAGCAGCAGGCACCTCTGTAGCAGCCAATCCATGTTCTCTCAAAGCCTCCTCGCAGAGTCATAATGAAAGGCTAAATCCGCATCCAAATACAAATTCAAGTCCTTTGAAAATGAAAGAGGAATGCACGCATATAACGGCCCGCACATGCAAATGTCCTGAAGGTTAGCTGCAATGTTTTTCTGAGCACAATCGTCTTCAGAAGTCTCCTCTCATGGTCTCTAGCTTTGACACAAACTCGGTAACACTAATTATGCAGCCTCGCTCTCTTTATCTTTCACCCTTTCTTCTTTACTCTTTGTGTTTCAGTCTTTTTCTGCACCTGTGAGTAGTGGCTGCATGGAGGAACTAAACAGCGCAGGGTGAGCTGAGAGCACAGAGTCCACAGAGAGTGTACTCATAAGACAAGAACAAAGCTGGGGTTTGCCTCTCTTCTCTCGTTCTCCAGAACTACTCGGGTGCATTTAGTCCTTCTTCAAGCAGGCAGAATGTCAAGAGACAAACCAGTGGGCTCCACAGCAGGCTCCTGAAAAAAGAGAGGAGAGGTTTATGAGACACTAAAGAAACTGCAGTCAGAGCATCCCCTGGAAATAATTTAAATTGAAAGATAAAATATAGTAATGTACAACACAGTTGAGATATAGTCCCTCTTGTGGAATCTCCTACAAATTCCCACTTATGTCAGTGGACAGAATATTAGCTGCAATGCTGTCATGCTCTCCATATTTTAATTGACATCAAATTTGGAACCTCACACCACATTTGCATTGGACAGTTAGAGTTCCAGTCTGGTTTCTGAAACCTAAAATTCAAGCATAAATAATATGTAGACCCAGCACTCCACACAGGAAATCTGTTCTGTGTTGCGCCCATGCCTCAACTGCTTTCAGAGCACTGCAATGAATTATTTCTATGTGCCTTGAGCATAACTGATTCGCTGCTGCTTGGCACCGCTCCATGGACTTCAGAGCCACTCACTGTTCTGCTCATGTAGATCGTCCCCAGAGTGTTTTCCCCCCAAACTTATGAAGTAATATAGTATTAAATCCAGAGCATAGGATTCTGATAATTGGAGACGAAAGATTCCTCAAGTGAACCCCATCTGCTCTCTGAACAGCCGAACCTTCGTATAGACTCTGCAGCCATATCCACAGTGGTATTGGCCACTGCTGTGTGTGTGTCTTTGTGTGTCTGTGTGTGGCACATGCATGCATGCATATGTGGGTTCTCTCAACAGTAGCCCAGCTTCACCCATAGTGCCAGATGAACAGAGGGGTGGATATGGCCACAGTGAGAGAGGCCTGCAGCACTTTCTCATTCTGTCTCTTTCCATCTCTCTCTCTCTTTATCTCTCTTTTTCTGTCTCTCTTTCTCCCTCTCTCTCTCAATTGTCCATCACACAACACATCTCTCTCAGGCTTTTTTCCATGCTGCTTTTGTATGTTAACAGACTCCCACTGTTTTGTCACAGCGGACATGAAGGGCAAGAAACTCACAAAGGATCGGAAAGTTGTGCAACGTTGCAGCAGCTGTGGAGCCGTAATATTTTGCAATTATTTTAATGTGGCTGGAGGTGCAGTGGCTGGCAGTAATGACTCTTTTTCTCCATCTAACTTCGTCTTCTTCTCTAACGTTGAATACACATTTGGAGAACCATCTCAGTGAGGTGTCAAGAGATTTGCCACAACTCATGAATTATACACAGTTTTGACATCTGCTGGTCACGTGTCTGTCTTTACTTTCTTACTTTGGACATCAAATCAAATAGTAAAGATGCCCTCCTCTTACACTACACAGTCGCCTGTCTTGTGCTGCTTCTCCCATTCTGCTGGGAACCAAAAGTAGATATTTATATCATCCTGCACAGATCACCCCCTTAAAACACAGCATCCATAATGGATGAAGGCCTACCAGTCACTGCAAAACATCTCGTTCTAGGGGAAAGCCTATGAGAAGGAAGAGGAAACACTCGCTACACAGGCTCGGTCTTTAGTCGAAGAGTTGAAAACGGGTCAGAAATCAAACTACCAGAGTGACACCTTTTTGACCACCAGTAACAGACATTCTGTGTTTACAAATGCAAAATATGAAGTCAAATAGTTTATGTTGCATGGACCACAGTAATTCTCCAGAGTAAGCTCTGCAGCCTTGGTTGCTTAATTTTTGCTTTGGTTGCGTTTGTCTTTGTAGGCAGTAATGGCCACCAGGATCATTTTCCATGAGATCTTAATCCAAGCCTGGACATTTAAGAGAGGAGCTGCAGGTTTATCAGCCCACCCTTCATCAATGTGGTTACAAACGAATACAGCCACAATAAGACCCCTGAACAAAACATGCAGATTAATGTGTTGTGTGCACGCTGGACAATCCTCTGGTAACAGAGTTGGGTTTTAGCTTTGACCTCTCACATATAAAGTGATCCTGCCTCTGGAGATCTTTTTGGAAGAGGAGGACAGCAGTGCCCCTTCGTTGTCATGGCTCTGTGAAAAACTGCGTGCACAGTGGCAGCTTTACCAGATGTTTAGTCATAAGGCCCAGATGGGCAGAGCAGATAAACATCAGCTGTCTGCAGAGAGTGGGAGTTGGGGGAAATAGCACAATCCTCACAGCAACCTTCCCCCCCTCCCTGCGATGAGGAGGAACTCCAGCATCCTCTGCACTCGACCACATTCCCCTGCTGCCGTGTGCGCTGCCACACTGATGCCTGGCCAGGCTAACAGCTTAACTCAAGCAAAGGTTTCTCTAACATGGCATGACTCATTTCTGGAGAATAAACTTGAATACAATATTTACTGGAGTGTGTCTCAGAGTTAAGAGGCAATGACGCATCTTTTATCAGCATTTGTGCACTTTCACACGGTTGAGTGGGAGCCATTCATCAAAGCTGAATTAATCACTATTAAAATCTGTCTCTTTACATTCTCCAGCAAATTAATCCGATTTTGCAACCGTAAAGCGCCGATAAAGCCATCTCACCAGTTAGCATTGTTTTGCTCTTTAAAGTGGTGTAAAAGAAAGTGAAGCTAAACGTGGCTGAACATGGACTTCTCTCATGAAATTCTCTCTTCATGTGTGCATTTACCAGTAAAAACATATTTTTTGGCTGCCATTATATGACATTGATGGAGACGGAGTACCCGACATGATCTTCAATGATTTTATATAATATTTCTTGCTAATTATATCCAAAGATATGTACCGGTGAGAAGTGACAGGACATGCACTCAGAGAAAACTGTTGGCTGACCAGGAGTTTAACCAGGGACCCACTGCTGAGGGCATCAAAGCTCATGCGGTATAATGTAACCATTCATCTGTTAGGTTGTCCTGGGATTTAACATAGTGGAGAGCAGCAGAAAAAGTTCTAAGATGAAGAGACACAAAAGAAGAACTGCTGAAACGATAAGAAAAATACAAATCACTGCCAAATGATCAAAGATTGCCGAAAGCAATTCTTAATTTTGAATCAGGCGATGGCAACTTGCCAGCCACCTACAAGCCACAGCGACAAGCGAACTCCCACCAAGCCAGACTGCTGCTGAGGCAGCTCGGCCAATAATTAGCAACTGTCTTCCCATAAAAAGGTTATTTATTATTTTGTCTCTTCGAAGCAGGTCTGGTTTTAGATTGAGATTCTCTTCACACTGTATGTATGACATCACAGTGATAGCATCAGTCTCATTCAGCCACTTCCTCCCACTCTGAACCAACCAGAGGAACAAAGCTGCTCTTAATCATGTGAACCACATCTCAGTTATTTTCTTTTTTATAGCCTCAAAGCTGCTTTAAGTTTGAGTTCATAGAAGCAGTAACAGTCAGTGTCTCCGATACGACACATACTTCCAAAGCTTTAACATTTGAAACTCCTGTGGCTGCTGCAGCTGACATCTGCATCTACAAAGAGCTTACAATGTGCAAAACCATACAACCAGGCAAATGAATGGGATTTTTATTTTAGAGATAATATGCAATAACTAAAGAAAATACTGGTCTGACGTCCAACTTTTACTTTTCTTTGTGTCATGTTTTGCCGTTTTAATTGTTCTCTGTAAATTCTGAAAAGTGCCAGAGAAATGCATCCTGCCATCCACCCTGTCATCTCTGCCAAGCCTCACAATGACATGCGTCCAGCTAATAGGTCCATCAGAGTGGAGCCGAGCTCCGTCTGACAGTGATGTCCTAATCCGACGGGAACTTCTGTTTTGGCCGTTATGCTTCAGCAGAGGAGATACTTCGGCCCAAAAGGCCAATGTGATCACGGCAGAGAATGGAGATAAAGTCCTCGGGAGAGGGAGCGTTACACTGCCTGCGTGTCTATCTGCAGCTCTGCTAAAAATACTGCTGTGGCTCTTGTAGCTTCAGATTTGTTGTTGACTCATTTTTATATCGTGCTCACTCAGTGCATTTTTTTTTTGTGCATGATCAAGAATTTCCTGCAGAAAAAGTCAGGGTGAAGAACGCACTTACCTTATTTAGTATTAAGCTGCTATGTATATGTATGTGGGGGTTGGATCGATCTTGCTTCATGACAAAAGTTAATGTTCATTCTTAGGCTATTTCTATGTTGCAGTGAAGTCACATAGCAGATTTATGGGTGTTTATGGACATTATAACCGTGTATCTTGTGAAATTCAAGAGCCTAAGTCGAAATTAATCAAAACAACATTGCTTAACAGTTCTGTGTGTTCAGATTTGACTAAGTTGTGACTCAGAATGGCCTCAGGCACGATGTGCGAACTAATCAAATTTAACTTTTACATCATTCTTTTCACACAAAGCTGCAAAACAGTATAATACATTAACAATATAAAGCATACACTTCATTATAAGACACGCGAATCCATTAAAATAAAGTAAATCTAAAAAGATAGATCGTGTGATTTATTTTATGGGTGTTCACAGATTGTGATGCCTGAGGACTCCATTGCTTTAATTACACTCACCCTGAGAACAAATAAAAGACCAGCATTCGAGGACCTGAGTGAATATATATTAAAAGCTTTTCTGTAAACTATTCATGCACCAATCCACAGATTTGAACACCAATAAATAAAAGGATCTTAAAATCTGACAGGCAACAGGTGACTTTAGGACAACCTGCGAATCGGACTATCAAGGACAGGCAATTCAAAAATCACAAATAATGCATCATATTCTGAGTCAGTGTCACCTCAGCTCTGTGTGAAATGTTCCTTGTATGATGAGTCATTTTCAAGGTAGTGAGGACAAAAACAAGGGTGTGGGGACTCTGAAAGTGGCTGAAAGAAATG